CACGCTTGTCTCAGACCCCCCAGAGCTGCTGTGTCTTCCATCCCTGGCTCCACCCAGGACGCCTGTGCGAGCTTCTGACGTCAGCTGCCCCGTTTCCATGGAGAACCCACTGTCCCGTGTGTGCAGCACAGCCAGGTTGCACCCGAGCAGGGGAGTGGGGCGGAGGGCGTCCCCCCAGCCAGGCCCACTGACCGCCCGGGAGCCCCTCGGCCCTCGGAGCGGGGATGCCCACTCTGTCCCCGGCGCGTACCTTGGTTCGGAGCATACTGCCAAGGTGTCCTGTCGTCATAAGGTTTCTTGGTAAGAATCCCACCCAGTCCCCGCTCTCTGCGGCTTCCCAAAGTCCCCGCAATCAAATTCTGGACGCGCGCGGCGGGCGTCCGGGGTTCCGTTTTGAGTCTTCCTGCTTTCTCTCTCGAAGCCAAACACCCAGGCTGTCAGTCCCCCAGCTCTTGGCACCCGAAGGCCCACCTACTTCCTCCTGACCCAGGCCTCCCAAAGGGCCCAGTGTCCCCTGGGGAGGAAGCAGGACTGCCCAGGAGGGAGCCCCAAGCCTGCGTGATCTGGGCCTTGAGTGCCACGACCATGACAGCTGAGCTGGTCTGGGACACCAGGCCCAGCTCAGGCCTGGCCCCAAATGGTGGGGACCACTGAGGACTGACCCCAAGGAGGCACCAGCCTTGTCAGTACAGCCAGCCTTGGGGGCGCTGGGTGTCTGGCTGGGGCAGACGGCACCAAAAGGCACTGAGGGGGACCCCAGAACAAGTGTTCTGCTGACCTTGGTGAATCCTCAGATATCTCAGCTGGAAGCTGGGACCCCAGAGTGCCCACGGTGCAGTGTCACATGAGTCCCTGAGGGAATGCTGGACTCAGATGAATATCAGCTGGTGAACCGTTACTAGTCAGACTGGGCCTGGGTTGGGGTCACTGCCAAGGACTCTGAGGCCCCTTCTTAACCCGCCCTGATGCCTGGCCCTGCCTGGCCTTGCTCCTTCCTCCAGGACAGGCTGGGAAGGAAAGAGGACCAGTGGGAGCTGACCCCGCCTCCCTGGCACAGGCCCAGCAGGGTAGGCAGGTCCTGGGACACCCCGGAGACCCTAGAGCCTCCCCGGCCTGGAAGGTCAACCCTGCCCCCACCAGCCCCATCCCTGTCTCTGGGCCTCTGCCCTGAGCCCCCACCTTGATAAGGCCCCGGTGCCAGCTAGGGTGCCCTAGCCTGCTGTAGCTCAATCCCCAGGGTGGGCCCAGGCTTAGCAACCCAGAGGGGGCAGGGGACAGGTGGCAGGAGAGGCAGCACCCCACTCCCAAGACCTGTGGCCCCCACGGGCTGCAGACTCACCCCCCAGCAGGAAGTAGCAGCCAGTAAAGAGCAGCAGAGGGACGCTCCGGGCCAGGGAGCTCAGGAGGCCACAGACCCAGCCGCACACGGCGAGGACGAGGCTCAGAGGCAGGACCACGGTGACGGCTCGGTGCAGAGCTGCCAGGAGAGGGGACTCGGGGTTCGGGTGGGGACCCACCAGGCAGGTCCAGTGAGTGTTTCAGGGCCTGTCTGCCTGGAGGGCCACCTTCACAGGACACACGGGCCGCCTTGCAGAGGAGAAGCTGGACCGTCCACTTCCCTCTGATGCCCCCATCTCCCTGTCCTCACCGAGGGTGGCCCTTCTCAGACTCAGCAGCCCCATGACTTAGGGTCCCCCCGGGGCTCTCGTTTCCGAGTGTTTGTCTCAGCCCCTGTCTCTGCGGCCCCTCTTGGTTTGAGGAATAGCAACCGCAGGGCAGTTATCGAAACAGTGCTTCGCCCTACGCTGAGGGGGCGGCTCAGGCATTCCGGCCCGTGCAGGCCGCCCGCCTTTCCACGCTTGCGCCCAAGGCTGGCTGGGGACACGGGGCGGGCCCGGGGACTTCCTGGCTGCGGCGGTGGCAGTGGAGTGGAGTGGCCTCTGTACCTAGCGGCCCTACGCCCAGCCACTGCTCCAGAAGCCAGGGGCAGCCACAGGCCCCTCTGTCTCCAGGGACATTGGGCCCGGAAGGTGAATGAATTCAGAAGCAGGGGTGCGGGCTCTGGGCTCTGATTACACTGGGGAAAGAAGGGTGGATAAGATCCTAACATTTACCCTGCAAAATGACAAGGGTCGACGCCGATTTAGTGGGGTCAGAACCTCCTTTTGTGTGTGTTTAAGGTAGGAGCCGAGAGTGTGTTTAGGAAGAACCCCTTCTGGCTGCATGCTCACATGCTTGTTCCCAGCGACCCCCCTTCCCCGCTCTCGGCAGGAGCTGGTTTGAAGGGGTCTCTTTTGCACCCCATAAAGCTGAAACAGAACAGGATTTGGGGCCGGCTAAGGCTGCGCCGGGCACCTGGGCACGGGGGCCGACTCGCCTCCCCTCACAGTGCGCCTGGATGGCCAGGTTAGCAGGCCCCGCCCCCACCTGCTTTAAAGGCCCGGTTCCGGTTCCGGTTCCGATGTGCGGTGGAGCCACTGACTGCGCTGTCCCCTATGCAGTAGGCCTCCGGCCTTGAGGGGCTACTTTGATGAATTCTGCCAGCCTGCTTCCCTGCAGATGAACCCAAATGACACCCTCGGCCAGCCCTGAAAGGGTGCCACTTCAGAACCACCCACTACTTTTCATTTCTCATCCGCCTTTCATCAACTTGTAGCCATGGTTAGAGCCCTCGGTGGCTGACTCGGTGAGCACGAGCCCATCTGTCTCCAGGCTGTTGGGGCCACTTCGAAGCCAGGGGCAGGAGTGATCTTCCCTTGGGAGAAATTCCAATCACGAGTGACAAAAAACAGGACTGCATCTAAGCCTCTTTTCCTTAAACTTACATTGAACTAACTCGGCAGCAGCTGGAACGGGCCACCGAGGCCCCGGGTGGCTCCGGGCAGGCCAGCCCCCGCTCCGCACCACGGCACAGCGCCTCCAAGCAGTGAATCTCATGGCATCTGGCCACGCCCGGCGCTGCCCGCCAGTCCGCTTGGAGCAGGCTGGCCCGTCCTGGCAGACGCGAGACTTCGCTCTCGTCAGGCCAGCCATCCTCACAGGTTCCCAGAGGGCTGCGGTCACAGGTGGGAGGCACGTGCCCTCCACATCGACGCTGCATAGCCAGAGTCCTTCGTGGGAAGTGGTCCTGACTGGGAGGCAGCCCGCCGGCACCTCTGCAGGGAGCCTGGCCCTCTGCCGGCGAAGCGGGAAGGTGCCCTCAATGCCACCCTGTCCCCCCCACCCCGCATCAGGGAGGCGCCTGCACCGCTGGAAGGTACACTCCGTTCCCTCGGCCTGGCGCGCCCTTCCCTTATCCACCCGCCAGCCCGTCCTTGTCCCCAGACAGACGCCCAAGGCAGAGTTGTCACCTGTGGTGCTCCTGCACGCTCGCTCCACACTCGCCAGCCACTGCTGGCCTTTGTCTTCCCACCGCTCAGGGAAGGAGGGACACTGAGCTCACTGTGGGACAGAGTCCTTGCCGGGCTTCAGTGACTGGATGGAGCACCTGGCAAACAGCACGCGTCTGGGTGAGGGACTGGATACACATCACCTCCCAGGGGATCTGCTGGGAAACCACCCCAGAAACCAGGGCCCGTGTGGCCCCAGCCCCCTGAAGCCCGGCCAAACGCTGCCGGCTGAGCCCAGCGGAGAACAAACCTACAGCTCAGCGGCTGCTTCGCCTGAGAGCCAGATCCCCCTGGGCAGACGAGACTCCTTCGTGATGGCAGCTGCCTGGAGCCGGCTGAGTGAACCTGAGATGTCAGACCTGAGTGCGGACGCTGGGCCAGCTGGGTCGGGGGGACCGGGCAGAGGGCACGCGGGGCCCCTCGTGCTTCCTGTGGATCTTAGCTACGCTGAAGTGCTGCACCGTGCAGCAGGAGGGGAGCCTCGGGGAGGCAGGTTCCGGTGCTATGACGAAGGCCTTAGTGACCAAGCTATCTAGAGGGAAGGGGGACGGTGGAGAGGGCCCTCGCTCTGGACAGGCGGTGGACCACGGCCACACCCGGGCTGGCCAGTGTCATTGGGCAGTGAGGGCCTGGCTCTGGGGCCAGACAGCCCGGGTCAAACCCAACCCTACTACTAGCTGTGTGATCTCGGAGACGCTCTGCAAGTCTCCATCTCTGTATCAAAAAAATGCAGAGGTCGCATTAGACTTCGTGGCAAGTGGGAGCTATTTTTGAGTGAATACAACCTGCAGAGCATGTCAGCACTGAGGACACGTCCCCCTGCAGGATGCGGCCGGCCCTTCTCGGCACAGCACGCTTCCGGGCAGCTGGCCCTCTACCTTTCACACTGATGGCCCACAGGGCTCCAACTGCGAGTCACACCTCACATGGCAGCCTGTGAATCCGCCACTCACTTACCACCCTTTCCCGCCTCCCACACGACTCGGAGAACTGAAGGGAACACGTAGTTGGAGGGAAGTCAAGGTGTGAAGAATGGACATCTGCTAAGCCTTCCAGTGCGGGTGGCCTTTAAGGTCCGGTGACAAACGCGGGTTTTGGAAAGCGAGCTCCTGGCGGAGGAACCGTGTGAGGTGGACTCGGCTCAGGCCTCCCCGTGGCGCGGCCTCACAAGGCGGCGAGCTGCCACGTTGCCCACCAAGCGCAGGGACCGAGGACAAAAGCATTTCTTCAATGCGCCTCCCTCCGAAGCCGTTTTACAAGGCTCCAGCATCAGGGCGAAGCTCCCTCTTACGGACTGGCACGAATACCCAAGTCACATCCCTGCCACACTCTGAGCCTAGGGGGACAATGCGTCTCCCCCTAACTGAGATGTGGCAGGATGGGAGCCTGGGGCGGGTTGTCACAGCTGGTTTGGTTTGTGCCTGGAGCGCACCCAGATAGCATGGCGACAGGCCTGGGGCCCGGCGGCTCTTGCAGAGGGGCCTGGGGCTGGCTGCCTCGCCAGGACGCAGCCCTCCCCTGCAACCGTGTGGGCAGGAAGGCTCGCCTGGCAGGCTGAGAAAGCAGCACGAAAAGCTGATGCTATTGAAAAAACCCAGTAGGGTCCTCGGCCGTGTTTGAAATGAAATGGTTTTTATTTTTCAGAAACAACCCAGATGACTGCCAGAGGCTTCCAACAGGACTGTAACAAGCCACCCGCAGCTTAACTTGACGAAGCAGGGTGAAATCGAGTCCACCATCGTAACATCAGGCCCCAGCCCTGGGGGATCCGGCCTGGCGGGGGGCGGGGGGGTGGACCAGGGCACAGCAGGTGACACAGCAGCGGAGACGGGGCCCGTCGGGCTGACAGGTCACCCGCGGCAGCCCACCAAGTCCCCACAGCTCTGAGCCAAGTCATCTCAAAAGGATTCAGGCCGCTGCCTCGTTCTCGGGGCGGGAGCCGGCGGCCTGCGCCACACAGCCCGCGCCAGGCTGTCTGCTCATGCAGCATTTCGTAAATGAGCTTCTGCCGGATGACGTTTCCTGCTCCCTTCCTTCCTCCCGGATCCACCTGACGTTCACTGTGGTGTCCCCAACGGCTTAGAACGGCTGTGTGCTCACTTTTAATTCTAGCTTATTCTATGAAATAATGATTCAAAGGAAACGTTGCAGAACCTTAGGAAGGAGCGAGGACTGTCTCAATCCCCGCTTCACATGGAGCCATGCATCTGCCATAAAAGAACAGCCGGCTGAGGCCACCCACGTTCCCAGCCCCGTGTTACAGATGCAGCCAGGCCGAGGAGCACGGGCCCAGGCCCACAGGCCAGCATCCCACGGGAGGGCGCCGAGCCGGGCCGGACGCGGTGCCCCTGACCGCCTGCCTCACTGCGGCCACCCACGCTCCCTGCTCAGTCCACACTAGGCTCAAACTCAAGTATCACTGATCGAAGGTTGCAAACAACATCAACGTGTTATCCATTTTTTAAATTTTCCCAAAAGAGATTTTCCCGGTATAATGTTTTAATTTATTCCAGTGCCTCCTGTAGAAAGGTGAACCATCAGCCGCTAGCGCATGTCACTGATGGGAAACGGCCATGTGATGGGGAACGGCCATGTGGAGACGAGAACCCCCTCCGCGGCGTCCCCTGGCCCTGCGGCCCTGTCTGAGGACGCCTGTGGAGGGAGGGGCCCGCTGACCGTGCGCCCTCCCATCCCCGGGGAGGAGGCGAAGGAGGGAGCCGCCCCGGAAAATGCCGCCTCTGGCATTAAGGCCTTTTCCTTGTCTGCTTTAGAAAAACGCTGCGACCTCGGCTCGTGCCCACGAGATGTGACCGCCAAGCACGAGGCCAGCTCTGCCCAGGCGCCAGCCTCCTCTGCCCCGCCCGCTCAGCCACGGGCAGGGCACCACCGCGTGCCGCGCCCCGGCCAGCCTGGGGCTCAGTACCACCAGTTCCCCACTGTGGCCTTGAGGCTACAAAATGACCACACAGGTGAGGACACCCCTTAACACACACAGCACGTTCCGAGGGTTGGCAGGGAAGAGGGCGGCTGCAGGACTGGGAGGCGTCCAAGCGAGCTAATACCCAGCGTGGTGGCTGGGGACACAAGCGATGCACACTGTAAATTTAGATTATACAAATGAAACTAAAAAGGGCACCCTCGACCCTCGACTGGTCCAGTGACGACGGCCCGCCCACCACACGCACCCGAACTCAGGCTCGGCGGCTGGTCCGCTCGAAGCCCGGCCCCGGCGCCGCGGAGGGCGCGGCCCGCAGACCAGACTTCCCGCCTCCCGCCCGGGCGAGTCCAGGGCTCGGCCAAGCGCAAGCTCCCGAAGCGAGAGGGAGAATCGGTCCCCGAGCTGTGACGCGAGGTGCAGAGGAAGTGACACGGCCGGCGCCACAGTCAGGGAGAAGCACAAACGCAGTTCACGTGTTCTGATTCAGAGAGCGGACGCCTTCCTCTGCTGAGGTCCTGCTCGGGGCCCAGAGAAGCCGGCGACAGCGGGGACCGAGCCTGGGCAGCGACGCGGTCCGCCTGGGGCCGGAACTGCGGCGGGGGCGTCACTCCGTGGTGGCCAGCTGCTCGATGGCGTAGCGTACTTTCTTTGCTGTTTCTTCAAATTCCTTCTGCTTGCTGTTGGTCTCCTTTGCCTGGAAATAAACAACAGACCAGACTCATGGGACCGAGACGAGAGCTCCCAGGGCACGCCGTGAGGACGAGGTCCAGGCCGCCGCCCTACCTGCCCCCGCGGCTCCCATGGGATGAGTCCAGACCGGACCCGTCCCAGAGCTCCGCTGAGCAGACCCTGTCAAGCCTCGGCTTCGCCCCGAAGCGAACCCTTCACCTTCGGGGACCCCAGACAGGGCTCCCCACCTGTCCTGCGAGGAGGTCTTTCCAGAGGAACAAATGACAATCGCATGAGCGAATCCAGGGACCTCCTTCCCCTCCGCGATTTCTACTCTTGATTTCTCCGTCACATTAAAAGACAAGCAGAACTTTATTGGGTTAGATTTATGAAGAAAAATGAGAAAGGCTAACATTTTTTAAATTACTTTTCAATATGTACTTTTTTCTGTCTTAAACTTTCCGCCATGTATAAGGCTTACTTATTTTAAAATGATTAATTAAAAGTAAATGTAATTTTAAAAATAATAAATTGACAAGAACGAGAGAAAACAGCACCAAACGGACAGCGGCGGGCCTGGGAGGGGACACCTGCGCGGCCCGCGAGCT